TGGGGTCATTTGACCCCAGTGCTCTTCCTGCCACGGCAGGGGGTCAGACTAGATGATCTGCTCAGGTCCCTTCCGACCCTAGAAACTATGAAACTATGAAATCTTCCTAGAAAACCAGACGAGTAAAAAGCAATGTCAATGCCACATGCAAAAAGAAAAGCAATAAAATAGCTATATACCTGGATCGCTAATCCCAGGGCAGCCTGAGACAGCATTTGGTGTGCAAAAGCAGACTGAAACTATCGAAAGTTTTCCTTTTCTTTTTTCTTTCTTTTTTTTTTTAAATACTCTTGTCTACCTAGTTGTTTCAATCAGCTTTTCACACCTCTAGTTAGTACTTCCTGGCCTTTCAGTTCTGGTTGAACAGATGCTTAATTAGGGTGGGTGGCGAAACTGCCTTTTGCTCACCGCAGTGTAAACGCTCACGCTACACATACGAGGAACTCCAGTGAGCACCACAACACCTTCCGAAAGCCTTACATTGAAAAGCATCAGACCTTGAAGCCAGCCATTTATGTCTGAGTTTTTCATGTTGACCTTGCCCGTTTTGTAATTAGGCTATTTTTTAACTCCATTTTTTATACCTTATCATCATTTCTGTTTTTATTATCTGCTAATTATTATCTCGGTTTTTATCTGTATTACCTAAGTATTACCTCTGCTAATTATTATTTTGGCTTTTATCTGTATTACTTAAGTATTACCTCTGCTAATTATCTTGGTTTGAATTTGTATTACCTCTGCTTTTATTATCTGGATTTTATCTGTATTACCTAAGTATTATCTCTGCTAATTATTAACTCATTTTTCATTCAAACATTAGCAGGACATACCTTTTACTCCCATGGCCATATCAAAGGTATTGACAGCAGACAGCAACACCTGTGCTTGCCTGAAATTAAAAAAAACAAACCTTTCCCAGTCCAACTGAGTGGAGCTAGTTAAACCAATTTGTTCTGCACTTCATGACAGAAATAGGATTTATTTCTCTCAAAAACACCAATGGAAAAAAAAGCAAGCAGGGCCTTTGTCGTTCCAATTGCTGTGTTATAAAATGCCATACAGCAGGCCTCTGCATTATTTTAAATATAAGGCCTTGTATCCAGCAGCTTTTTTCTGCAGTTATTTCAGCAGTTTCTCCGTAAGAACAAACCTGATTTCTGGAAGACACAAACCCTGTGCGCATCAAGGGGCTTCATTTTCAGGTCCTTGAAATGATCTAAGCAGCCCCAGGCATCTATTTTACTTCGGGCCCGGAGAGGCCTTGTAACAGGACAGCAGACAGACCCGCACATCATTCTCGATCATTACCGTATCTGCAGCTATCAGGCATTTCATTATGCTGCACTTTCTGTGTCTGCTCCCTCCCCGTGGCTCTAATTGCCAAGTTGCAGAATGGTCTGGAACAGGGCTTTGATTTATTTTTAAATGCAAGGCTTTGTTCCCCCCAGGGTTTTCTGCAAACATTTTCCCTTTTTTACTCTAGACAAGGAGCTCTTTCTTCATGGAGAGACAACACTGGAGATCCACAAACGGTTTTATTTTAACAACCTTGAAATTAGTGAAATCAACCACAAAAATCCAGGTTTCGGTAAAGCCACCACAGGGCTTGTAACAGACAGAGCTAGACCCCCAAAAAAGGTCGTTTTCAATTCATGCACAATTGATTCACAGCTCCCCGGTTCCTTTTTTTTTTTCCATAGATTTCATAGACATTAGGGCTGGAAGGGACCTTGGAAGATCATCGAGTCCAGCCCCCCGC